TTTTTTTTTTTTATTGCAGATGTGCCCTTTCCTAAAACTTTTATACCGTTATGCAGAAAAATCTTAACTCGTCTTTTTAGAGTTTTTGTCCATGTATATATCCATCATTTTGATCGCATTGTAGCAATAGGAGCAGTAAGTATTTCTTAATCAAAGTAATTTTAATATTTTACTACATTATATATAATTGTCTTTGACTGAATATATTATTATTATTTTAGGAAGCACATGTGAATACATGTTACAAGCATTTCTTTTATTTTGTAACAGAGTTTGATTTAATTAATCCTAAAGAGTTAGAACCATTAGCTGAAATGACTGCCAAAGTTTGTAAGGATAGTGCTTCTCCTACTCAAAGCACAGTACCATCAAACAATCAAAGTAGATAGTTATTTTATATTCATTCGTCTAAGAAAAACAAAACTGATTATACAATTTACAGTAAAATAGCAGAATCTCCAAGCATATATATAAGTTTATTTTACATGGAGATAGAATATAGCTTGACATTTTTATTTGAATTATACACCATTTTTATGAAAATAATTTACTTTAACATTTTAAAGTCATTATGAGTCTTATTAGAGTAAATGATGATTTTCGTTAATAAGAGCTAATTCGGTAATAGTTCAAAATTGATATGTATATATAATTATTATATTATTAACAATATATCACATTTTATTCATCTTTATATTGCTCCCAATTTAGATTAAAGAAAATTACAATAATGATGATGCAATATACAAAGATTTATATAATATATCTATAAATATTTAAAAAAATAATATATTTATATAAAGAGGGGGGGGGGATATAATTAATTTATTTTGTTTTTTATATGATATTGCTTGTATAAATTTCATTTGAATTTTATTTGAACCCCTCCCCAGATATGAGCTAATACATTTTTTGCTTCTTTTTTGTTAAATATTAGAAAGGGATAATAATGTAATTTTTTTTTATTAATTACAAAAAATTTTGAAAAATTTGATAAGATAGATAAACAGTATATTTACTAATTAACGTCATTTAAATAGTTGGCGAATTATATAAATCTCATATTTAGATCTATATAACCTATATAATAACAATAAAATTAAACTTGCTATTATTCATTTATTATTACTATAAATAAAATATTTAAATATTTTGTTTGCAATGTAATATTTTTTGAAGAATATTGTAGGAACAAGCAAATATTGTCCCAAATTTTCATTAATATATATAGAAAATCGTTTTTCTTTCTATATACTAAAGTTTATATTTTATGTCCAACATTATTTGTTCTTTATGTTTACTTAATAAATTTACATCAATCAATGTTTAAGAATAAACATTTTAATATAGCACTAATTTGAGATAGGAGAAGGGGATTAAATTTATATTATATATCTTCCTATAATCTATAAATCTATTGGGTTGAACGGAAAGTTCGTGCCGTTTTTTCGGTCTTCATCTCTTAATAAAAAACGGAACGATCTTTCCGTTCAACAGGTTTTCGAATAACCGTCAATAGCCGAAAAAACACTTCTCGGTACATTTGAAATTGGTTATTAACTGGTTTATTTCAAAACCTATGGAGCAAACTACAATCATTTTGATCTCATTTGAAAGATAATTTAATTCCGAACAAAAAGTTTTCTATATACATGGATCGAAAAATGCTTTCTTAAAAAATTAGCGCCCAAAAATCTTTGAAATCACGGTTATTTTTTACATTTTTACAAATATCAGGGAAAGTATGCGTTTTTTAACAAAAAGTACCGAAACAAAAGTTGTAGAGAATTAAATTATCTTTCAAATGAGATTAAAGTTATTATATTGGGTTGAACGGAAAGTTCGTGTCGTTTTCTCGGTCTTCATCTCTTAGTAAAAAACGGAAATATATAATAGGGATCCATATCGTTTATGCCAAAGTTTATTACGCTAATAACTAATAACGAATAATATCAAGTATCTTTTATATTGTGCATTATATAAATAGATGAATATAAATATTTGGTAATTTTGGGATTTAATCCTCAAGTACAGACATGTAATCTCTCAGACTTCATCATTCTAATTTATTTGGCTTATTGTTAGATTTTTGTACTCTAGTTTATTTTGTTAGTGATATTAATATTTTTTATTCTGACTCTATTTTTATTTGTTGAGTTTGATTGATAAAATAGCAAATTAAATATATGATATATTAAACTTTACTGAAATTTATGCCTGTACTTAAGGTTTAAAGTTTATTTTTAGCATATTTAAAAGTGTATCTAATATTATACATAATAAATACTGTCCATGTCAAATACAGTCCAGAAAAGTACAAATACTAATCGGGATATTCCATTTTCTTTATATTTATTGCTGGAAGATTCATAACAATGCAAATTATATGTATTGTGTAAATAAAAAATATTACTAGAGTTATTTATTTTTGCTTATATGTCACTTTAGCAGAAAATTAAAAAAAAAAATAATTGCATTTACATCAAAATTATTTTTTATCTTCTTTATTACTAATTATTCATCTTCATATTTATTAATATCAAAACGTGATGTAAATTTTACAAATTTTAAATAAGATAACAAGATATGGTTTTTTTTATATAATATATGTAATGTAGAGAGTAAAGAAATATATATATACTGCAACTTTTAATATTATCAATTAAAATGAAAAATGCTATAAATTATATATGTATTATATAAATATTCATATTATATATAATTTTTAATATTTAATTTTTTATAAAATCTGGTATATATTAGGAGATTATCCAAAATGTATTTTTGATCATTTATTTTAGCCAGGTAGTATACATCAATGAATATTTGTTTTTTAAAAGGCAAAATAAAACTATGATCTTCTTGTGGAGAAAAAGCTATAATAATTGCATTTACATCAAAATTATTTTTTATCTTCTTTATTACTAATTATTCATCTTCATATTTATTAATATCAAAACGTGATGTAAATTTTACAAATTTTAAATAAGATAACAAGATATGGTTTTTTTTATATAATATATGTAATGTAGAGAGTAAAGAAATATATATATACTGCAACTTTTAATATTATCAATTAAAATGAAAAATGCTATAAATTATATATGTATTATATAAATATTCATATTATATATAATTTTTAATATTTAATTTTTTATAAAATCTGGTATATATTAGGAGATTATCCAAAATGTATTTTTGATCATTTATTTTAGCCAGGTAGTATACATCAATGAATATTTGTTTTTTAAAAGGCAAAATAAAACTATGATCTTCTTGTGGAGAAAAAGCTATAATATTAACATTATTATTAGAAATTATACTTACAACATAAATATTAATTTACATGGGTATTTTTCTCAAGTAGTAAACATATGTGTACCATAATTTTATTTTATTTCTAATTGATGTGTGTGCTAAGATTTATTGATAACTTAAAGATGATTACACTCTGAGCCAATACATAGCCCCACGAATATTGTTATAATCTGGCAGATTTTCGACAGGGCCAACTGCTGCAACGACTGGACAGTGATCAAAAATATATTTCATACCAACGTTTTGAATAGTTTCAGCAGTGACACTCTGAAAAGAAATAATACATAATCATACATTAATGTATTACATGTTCTGAAAAAAATGAGATAATCTTGTAATAAATATTATAAGATATCCATTTTTTTATATTGAAAACACTTATAATATCTTGTTACATATACATATAAGTAAAAAAAAAGATATTGAATTAGATAAAAATTTCTTTATGACAGAAAAATTCATATACATATATAATTGAAGCTACATACATCTATCCTCATCTCGAGTTCGTGAAGTGGAATACGGCGATTATAACATAATATTTGACGGCCAATATCTTCGCAAATGGCAGTAGTGCCATCCAATTGTAAGAACATGTTGGTCTTAAGAATATTCTTTGCACGCGCTACATCTTTTTCAGTAACAGATGTGCATAATTTCATCCATTCGTGTTGAACTTGTGATGTCATATCATCACATTTCATAGGATCACAAACAAAATATATACCCCAAAGTCCTGTATCCTGCATAATTAAAGAATGATATATTGACCGCAACTCGTACATTCATTGTTATAATCACGTGTTGTTTTATATATGAAACAGTATATTAATATTTTTTTAATGTATACCTTGTAACATGTGTTAAAACTCTGGTAACTATGACATAAGCCATTTTCTGCGCAAGCTTTAGCTAGATTGCTTGCATTATTTACACCTCCTCCTTGGCTACGATCCCATGCTCCTATAAGAGTATTGGCGACCATAAGAGGAATGTTGTCTGCTTCAGCCCATCCAGCACCTTTTGCCACCAATGTTTATTAATAACATTGCATAACTATTTTATATATATACATATATAAAATTAGTTTTTTGAATTATCTTAATTAAATGATCTCTAAATACCCTCAACAGCGATCGCGACGTGGGCGAGAGGGATCGTGTCATCGCGAACTCTTATTTCAGAGCCAGTATAGCGACAGGATTTAATATACTCTGGAATATTATCATAATCCGGTCCTGTCATTTGACCAAAATGCTTATTGGCAAGTTCGATTAACTGATTGTGATCTACACCACCAGCACCAGCTAGTACAAATCTAAAAAAGATAACATCTTGATTTTTTTAAATATTGCTGGAATTTCAAGTATATATAAAATTTACTTGATGAAGAAACAGAAGATTTACCTAGGTGGTCCATAATGAGTTTTCACATAATTAACAAGATCGTCTCGTGAAATACTTCTGATATTCTTAGTAGGTCCCAGTATCGTTCGTCCTAAGGATGTACCTTGATAGGCAGCAGCATGCAAGTGATCAAATACAACCTCTTGCAAATTTGTTTCAACTTCTTGCATTTCGCGTAAAATAACGTCACGTTCTCTTTGGATCTCTGCTTCACCCAGCTTGGAATTTTTAATAATATCGCTGAGAATTTCAATAGCTTTTGGTACATCTTGTGACAAACATTTTGCATAAAATACAGTTTGTTCTCGACTTGTGTAAGCATTCAAATGAGCTCCCATATTCTCTATTTCCAATTCTAAATCAGTTTGAGAACGTTTGGCAGTACCCTATAAAAAAAATTTACTAGTTAATAGAAAATTTGGTACTAGATGGTTTATTATATATACATATATATATAATTATAGTAAAATCATATAAATTATTTAAAACATGGATCATATGTAATATACTGTAGTTATATTATATTAAAATACAAGTGTTCTATTTCAATTACAGGCACTGCAGAAAGTTTTAAAAGAATTTACTACCATAAGCCATAATTACCATTTTTCATTAGTGATGCTAATTAATATATCTTAAAAGCCATATATACCATGAAATGAGCAACACCATTGTTATACTAATTAATATACCTTAAAAGCCATGTGTTCCATGAAATGAGCAACACCATTGTTATCATCAGTTTCATATCGACTACCAGAATCTATCCAAAGACCAACAGTAGCTGTCGCAGCTCCGCTATCTTCACTAGCAACTCTCATTCCACTATCCAAAGTTGTAACTCTCGTAGCTGGTTGATTGATGAGCGTTTCTTTCAGAGAAGCAGCAGTTGACCGCCATTGTTTTGGTACCTAGTTGACAAAGTTATTGACAAATTCTAAGTAACGCACAACTTCAATCTAAAACATAATAAACAAGTTTATCATGAACATTCAGCTTTTATTATAAAAAAATTAAATTTATTACTAAATAATAAATCTGTATATCTAAATTACTAATAATTATGACATTACATGGATCTAAAATTTCTGTTTTTTTTTTTTTTCATATTTCTAAATAATTCATGACAAAATGTATATATATATTTCATTAAATGTTCTTTTTTACACAGTGGATGTAACATATTAAATCACACCTGTCAAAAATATAATAAAGTCAATATCGAGTTTAGTATTATTGAGGTTAGAAATATAAGCATATATTCGAAAGAATATCTAACTTTTTCATTTTATTGCATCTTGACACAAATAATTTATATTATCAGACAGTTACATCATTTTTACATATTAAATACCCTAAAACTGTTATTTTACTCTTATTACGTAAGGACCCGACGAAAATGACAAATCTCTTTCTTTTTAAATCAAATAAAATTATAAATGAATTGATTATCAAGTTAAAACCGTTATCATCATGATTGCATATCGTGAAATGTAATCGGTTTTACCTTTACAAGGCTGGTTTTATTAGTATATGTGCGCAGTGCGCTACTAATTTTTAGTAGACGAGTAGCCATTTTTTCGAGCAACCAATTTATCGCGAGTGAAGCCGACGAACGTGAAACACGACAGAAAAGTTGTGAAGATCCTATGTGCTATGAGATGGCGTTGTATCTCATAACTTCGTGTATAAAGGTGCCTTTTCACGTTGACTCTTGATGTGCATTTTCAGCGTCAAAAAACACCTTATAGCGATGTAAATATACCTGAGAATAGCGAATCACCCAATCTATTTACGCCACGCATCTCGTCCTAGAAACAAATCAAAATTACTATCAAAATTATACAGGAATATGTTCAATTTGACGTTATGACCCTCTATGTTTCTATGCGCAATGTGTGATTCACTCGCTGGCCAATCGGCTTGTCGCTTTTTCGAAAATAATGACATGTAGTAGAAGATGATTAGCTGCCGCATGCCTAGTAGAAAAGTTACGCATGCGCGTTGCTGAGTCTTTATTGATTCTCGTAGTTTCGCAGTTCAATGCAGTTTTATAATCGAAGCTCAAGGTACACGTAATAAGTTTCGACTCGTTCTTCGCGGAATCGCCATATTTTACAGATCGAACAAGAAGCTTGACAACGCCATTGTGTGGATTGTGTTATTTTTCGACGGTTCGTCGAGTGTTTTTAGTAAAATAGCGAACGCCGAACGTTGCGAGTTTTTCACTGCTGTTTATTAAGAGTTTGATATCACGCTGAAACAACGAATTACTGCAACGGGTAACGTTTATTCATCAACGCTACGATACCTCGCATCTCTCTGATCGCGACAGAAATTCCGCGCGTCATGGCTTTGCCGGAATACTTGCTTCAAATATTTATTGTTTTTACTTGAGAGGTAGTGGATACGTTATCTACATTTAAGAAGGCTGATAATCGCGATTCATTGTAGATATTGCTTTTCTTGTCCCCTTCCCTCGTACAATTCCGCGTTGGATGCATTATAAAGCGCATTGCTGTCATAGTGCATATAAAGACTGCTATAGAATCGATTTTATTCCCTTTTTTTTTCTTTTTCTTTACTATGATATTGTGTGTCAGACAAAAAATCTGAATTACATATTTCAAGTTTTTGAAACGTCAAAATTAAATATTTATGTGTCTTAATAAATTCAATATTACAATATTTATATTTTTTAATTGTGAACTTAACACACATAGCCAAAGTATGTCTTCACTGCGTATGTGTGTGCTATTATTCCATATCTACTTCCTAATTTTTAAACTAAAAAATTAAATTATAATAATAAATATAATAATAAATTTAATTTTAATTTTAAAAACTAGAATATATTTTTATAATA